TGTAGCTCCCGAGATGTACTTAAATCGGACTCCGAAATCCCTCACTTGAGATAGTTGAACCACCTCCATTTCCCACTTCACCGTGTTGGGATTCCGGGTAACTGAATCTTTTGTCATTTTGTCTGATGACGCCTGATGCGGATGGGTACACAACAGACGGTATGGATTTAAATATACATAATCAATTCCTTTATCTTCAAGAATTCGCAGTGTGGAAAGCATAAGGACCTGGGCATTTCGTCCCTGCACGGAAATACCGAAAGCCCAATTTTGCCTTCGGGGTGCGACAGCACATCCGGATTGTTGATGTTCGGTAGGAGATGGACTCATGGAGGTTGGGGATGGCCAATTTCTTGGCGTTTCTATGCCACGGTATTCGTTTTTGTTTCCATTCGCTTGGTGCGCAGCCAGATCGGAGCTGTGACGACCGTCACTGGAACGTGAGTCACGTCCGGTAGACATGACTGTCGGATTGTTTCCATTATAGACTCTGGTGAAATCCGGTGCGACCACTGTGGAGGATGTTAGCAGTGCGGTTGGTTTGTTAACCTCCATTGAACCGCGCTTCGATTGGGAACGTTGCAATCCGGCTATGGTGACCGCGTTTTTTGCATCCCAACCCTGCAAATGTGCCGGAGTCTCTTTCAGACGTGTTGTGGTCCAGGCTTTGACACATGCCGGAGCAGGTATTTCGGTTCTCGCGGACGAATGAAAAGGCGTACCTGGTCGATGATCTCCTTCCAAATAGAATTAACAAAAGGAGATGAAAGGGAAGGGGGCATAAGTGATACTTGGCATTGTGTTTGGGTGGTGGATGCGAGAAAACTTGTTAGGCTTAGTGCTAAGTTGTACCGGGCAAAGAATTGGTTGTGGTTTTCACACACTAATCATAACATTCGTGCGAGGTTAGTTTCCCGAAATCTCATCGGAAGGACATCTAAAATGGTTGCAGCCCACATACTTCATTCAATGTGTATGTATAAACAGACTCCCGGTGGACAAAACCCGAACTTGTTAAATTGATCTTCTAGGCAAGGAATTTCACTGCGAAGATATCGAACTTCACAACTTTTGGTCTTTCAATGAATTTAGAAATGAACACGAACACTAGACATCACAACCACTTTAGTAACAATATGCATAATTCGCACTAAGTTTCCTTGATGGATTATTAAAGGACACTGCTCGATGTCACAGGTTATCAAGTAATGATTTGAAAGAAGCATCCACCCACATAAAGTTGGATCTTGTTTGATCAATCAATGTCTATCGGCATCCAAATAGAAGTTTTGTTAGAACAAGATAAATAAGGAACTCAACATCTATTAATGCAGGAAGTATTGCTTTAATTGCGTTCATTCACACTGTCTCGCACTAGGAGAAAAATGGGCACTAACCACAGTACCTACCGTTCAAGACGGGTGATCGATTTACGGCAGAATCAACTTGGAGTGTATGATTTGCATTATTGATTCCATTTACAACTGAACCGTTCGATTCCGCAGGAAGATTCCGTGAATCCAGACCATTCATTGGAGCAGAATAGACAAGGCGGGACATACCTGTCTCATAATTGGCAACTCCATTCGCTTTTGATTTAGGTTCTGCATCCACATAGATCATTGTACCATTTCTGTGGGATCATTGGAGGAAGGACGAAATTACGGTAATGAATTACTTTCAAGTAGAGTGAACTGATTCAATAGTACCAACTTGAAAACAACCCCGCCTAGCCTAAAATATGGAAAACATTTAGCCACGATAGAATACAACTTCCGCTGGATCCACCTTGCAGCGTGTTGAGTAAGCAGAATATGATGTCTGTTGCATAAAATTTTGTGATTTTGTAGCTGGTGACACTGGTGGTGTTTGAGGACTCTCTGAAATTCTTTTTGCAAACCTATCGTACCCATGCTAGGCAAAAGCACTGATGGTGTTGCTTGGTATGTTTACGAAACTTCTACGAACAACAGTTCCAGCTTAATTAACCATTTAACATCAGCAAATGCTATTTATCTTTCCAGATTCGCATATCTAGTTGAGACCATATTCAACAACATTTGGTTTCTTTTTTTCTTGTTCATTTTCTCTTATTCACGATTTCTGGATTACTTAACAGTAACTTTGAAACGTTATGTTGCGGTTTGGCGACGGTCAGTCGTGTTAGTTGATAAATTGTGTCATCTCGCTATCAGTGCTTGCGGGAAGTTAGCTGTGATCATTTTCAAAGACATTCCTGCCCCATGCCCACCGACCTTTCTGATTGTCTATCTCAATCAGACGCTCATTCTACTTTTCCATAATGCGCGCCACTCAAAAACGTTGTCTGTGTTCCTGTCGGCAAAAGTATAGCACTCGGATAATTTTTGTGAAAACTAGCAGGGAGCGAATCTGATTTACTCATTTTTATTCTCATGAAGTTGTTTCATTTCTCTGTCCCTAAAATCATTATTTAACCCCCTCAACCGAAAAATATCTGTATTAATTCCACAAACCTATGCATCATCAATGCCAATTTCGGGGATCCGAATAAAAAAACAAGCAAACGAAAAGCCTAATTGGGATGCATCATTCAATTTTACTTTTACTATGGTATGCGAGGCATTGACCATTCCGTTTTAAAAATCTTGTACACCATTTGAGCTTACTTCTTGCCTAATTTTGAATTAAATCTCGGTTTCTATTGTCTCACTCTTCCATCAGGACTGCCTCCGGTTCCCTCTTGTTAGTATCCAACCTGGCGTATTGGTAAACTCGAATGATCCAAATGTTTTCCATGCTTTTCAGACATGGTCTGTACGCAATCCACATCATAGTTTTTATACCATAAAACAGTAAGCATAATTTGAGTAAATACGCTTTATGAACTGCCTCGTTATCTTGCTGGAAAATAGCTTCAATATGACCGGTTTACGGTTGATACCGGTAGAAGATATACTCTAACTTTCCATAAATCATGCCAGTATTGACCCCAGGAATCGACTCTATCCAAGTTGATTTTTCCGTGGCTAACGTACGAAAGCTCCGTTAAGAACGTTGCCTTAAGGTCAACAACGAGCAGTGAACAGTCGTTTTGTTCATGTTACATGTATTTAACTCGCAATAAGCGTTGTTCCATTTGCTGCCTTATCAGAACTATGCGCCTTATCAACTTGTGTTTAATCCAGGTAACCATCATATGATTATATAACAGAAACATTCAATTCTGGTTCTATGTCCATCGCAGGTAAATGACACAAGCAGTTCGAGGAAATTTGCACCAACCTGTGCCTGTCTTATATCGGACGTTCTCTCTTGCGTCCATTCTTGCCTCATTTCATGCTTTCCTTGTTTTCGCATCAACTAGGCTGAACCTGTCTAGATCAGTTGCGTCGATTAGATCTCATACATACTGCAGATGATCTCACAAATGCATCGGTTCTTGTTCTGTAAAGTCAGCAAGTTTCTTCCGACACAACATGATCGATACTGGCGTTCACCGAATTATTCGGTATCCCAGAGCCTACATCAAGATCGCCACTGGTGACGTGAACTCTATGATCTTTGGATTCATTTTCGTTAAGTTTCGTATTTCGGTTTTTCATTCGGTTTTGATTCTAATTTTCACGTTTGGTGATGATGATGCATATAGTTGTGAAAGTAATACAACCTACTTGGGGTTGGACTGAAACGATTATTTAAAGGGTGAATTGCGCTGCACCCCGGTGTGCTTGGGTTTCTAACCAAACGCAAACTTTTATGGAGTTCAAGGCCAAATAATTGCAACATATTTGTCAAGAAATTTACCGTTTAGGTGGAATGGTATGCGATTGCGAGAGTAATATTTTACTTGATTTAATATTTACCGTGACGAGTAGTAGGAATCGATCAGCATCTAAACAAGTGCCATAACAAAACTAATGACAACACAGCAAGGCTATGAAATAGACAGCTTTTGAAGACACAAGTTGACGTTCCAATGAATCAGAACACCTGACCACTATCGGGGAGTTTCACGTTCACTATACCTTTTTCAAATTAAGATGTCACAGAATCAATGTAGGATGTCCGAATATCAATTTGAGATGCCACAATATGAACTCAAGGTGTCCCGGTATCAATTTAAGTTGTCATGTTGCTACGTGGACAATAGAATAGTGCGATTGCCCCGTCAATCCACATTGTCCTGTAATTTTGTGATGCTGTTGGTGTCACGTTTAGTCTATCCGTGTGGTGAAGGCACGCCTGCTGTACAGTCGAAGTTCATTGGGCCTAAGACTCGGGACTGTAAACAAGGTGTGGTTTCTCTCTCGGGTTAGCTGGAAAGAAACCAGGTCCTTGTTGCGGTTGCACTATCCGACCGACCGATAAATGAACCGGATCGGCCGTGTGATTTTCGGGCCGGCATAGAGTTGGTAGAGAATCACGACAGGAGAATCGGTTGTGGAACGATGTGCCATGTGGGAAATGCGGGATGGAAAAGTTTAAGCAATGTTGACACGGGCCAACGTTTGACTCGTCTAAGATACACGCACTATTTCTCTAAGCCGGTTCGGTAAACGGATAATCATCATAATAAAACTTGCCCGAAGTACGGACTACAATGTCCACTAATATAGACCAACGCAAAACTCCTCCTGGAATTTTATTAACTGGCTTTTTTCGCGTTGAACGATCTTGTTAAGTAGGGCGGAGATAGAATTTCATAGGGGAGAAAACATATCATGGAAAATGCTTATTTATCTCATGAACGTTGTTCACCATCCATCCTGTTCCATCCATGCTGCTTGCACAGCAAAATACGGCGAAGACAGTTTTCTTCCACCTTCTGAATAATAGCAATTGTGATACTTTCGCACCTCGCGACGATACTCTGTTTTGGCTCCTCAATCGTTTTTGATTTTCGGGAACAAATGTTTCGCTTTAAATATGCTCACAGAAAGAAATCCAAGGGAGACAGATAAGGTGATTTTAGAGGCCATCCTCAGACAATCTGTCTGTAGGTAAATTCCGAATCTAGGAAACTTTTCAACATCAAAGCAGTGTGCGGTGGTGCACCGTCATGTTTTAACCCATTTGTGGTACCAACTTCAGTTTGTATACGCCAGATAGCAGTTCCGAAATTATCTTGTACCATTTGCAGTTATGAGGCCCCCTGAATAATGTAATGAGCAAAATTGTTCTTACATGATACACTTCCGTTAAAAAAGTACGGTCCGATAATCTTACCGTGCATAATACTGGCTCATACTAACACCATGGGACTATGAAGTGATTTTGAGTCGACAGAATATCTTGTGTTTCCAACCGCCCAACGAATAGAATTTGTAACATTCCAGTTCACATGGAAAAGGGCTTCATCCGTGAAAATCGTTTGGCACACATTTAAGTGTGCCAGGTACCATGTGCGCAATTTTAGTCGGCGCTCAGGATCATTAACACGAAGTTCTTGTAGCTGAGCCTCTTATTTTGTAACGATTATCTCTGGCCGGTGCCCGGGATAAGTTCCTTAGTGCTCTAAGACGTACTGCTGCGATTATCATTCAACCATTCGCACAGGCGTGTCAGTGTATCAGCTGTCATTGATCGATTGGAGACTTGACACTCTATTACCAGGCAGGTCAATCACTATTACTAATCAACTATTCGCACAGCTACGCTTGTGCGACAGGGCCGGCTAAACGATCTCATAAATGAATTCTAAGAATAAATAGAACAATATATGAGTGGTTTGTAAACAGGCGCTTAGAGACCCGTTGGTTAGATGGTCGTGCGGAAATCTAAAGCGAAACATTTGTTCCCGAAAATCAAAAACGATTGAGGAGCCAAAACAGAGTATCGTCGCGAGGTGCGAAAGTATCACAATTGCTATTATTCAGAAGGTGGAAGAAAACTGTCTTCGCCGTATTTTGCTGTGCAAGCAGCATGGATGGAACAGGATGGATGGTGAACAACGTTCATGAGATAAATAAGCATTTTCCATGATATGTTTTCTCCCCTATGAAATTCTATCTCCGCCCTACTTAACAAGATCGTTCAACGCGAAAAAAGCCAGTTAATAAAATTCCAGGAGGAGTTTTGCGTTGGTCTATATTAGTGGACATTGTAGTCCGTACTTCGGGCAAGTTTTATTATGATGATTATCCGTTTACCGAACCGGCTTAGAGAAATAGTGCGTGTATCTTAGACGAGTCAAACGTTGGCCCGTGTCAACATTGCTTAAACTTTTCCATCCCGCATTTCCCACATGGCACATCGTTCCACAACCGATTCTCCTGTCGTGATTCTCTACCAACTCTATGCCGGCCCGAAAATCACACGGCCGATCCGGTTCATTCAATCATCGTGTTGATATCTGAATGAACCATCGTGCAGGTTACAGTATAAGTTTTGTAAGGATTATGTGTAGCCTTGCTATTATGGCAGCATTTTTATTCCCTAAGTAGTAAAGGAGATTCAAAGAATGCGGCTAACATGCATACTCTGATAAAGTCCCGTATTTTCATCAACTTAAGAATCGAAATCTTCGTTTGAAACTGAGGTCTCTGCGTAGCAATCGAAAACAGCGAAGAAATTTGTAAATGCTTTCTGACTCAGTAGAGGTAATTTAAAAATAAACCTAAATCAGCATGTGCTGATAAATCGCGGCAATCCAGGTTCTTTTTGACATTTCCGCAACATGATGACAAATTTGTTTCACAGATTTGTTCCATAGATTACTCTCTAGTACAAATAATAAGTTATTTCTTCGAACATTCGACCCTAATTGGACAGAGAACATGGTGCTCAAAGCGAAACTGATAGATAACAATGGTCTCATTCACTGACAAGCCAGATTCTCACACGTCCCGATACATTCTGAGGATATTTGTGGCTCTTTGTCGGTTAGGCAGGTTTCTAGATGAAGGTTCTTACTTTTTCAGAAATAACGACTAAACATCCAAGACCGGTTATTCACTAAAGCAATTCTCACGGGTGAACACTTTGTTGACCGTTCTTCTTTCCTCAACCAAGAGGTGCGCCCCGTGTAGTACACTTCTCTTGGTGGTAAAATGTTTTCATTTCACTTCATTCTTTACTTCCTTTCTATTGAAGACGTGGTTGTGCAAACATATTTCAAGAATGGTAAGCCGCCATTCCAAACGCTGGCATGGGATACATGAAGGAATTCAGCTGTAGTGATGGGATTCGAGCATACGACACCCGGAGCTGTTGACACTAACTACTTTACCACCAGTATTCAGCCCGTTATTGTGACAAAGGAGGACGGGCACCATATTAGGCAATGTTTGCGGCGTGGAAACGGCCAAGAAGGGACAGCGAAATATCTCAGTATGTGGACGCAAACCATCGTTCGTGGAAGTATTTCCAAATTGAGTTCCTCGGTGGAAATATTTGACATCAGATAAGCCAGGCATAATTGTGGCCTAGTTGGTGCACATTCAAGATGTAGGTTACCCAATTTTTCCGAATGCACTGTCATATTTGAAAATTATAATCGAACGTAATCTGACAGGAAATAGGATTTTGTCCCTGTTTATTGCAGAACGACAAGTGAGAGAACTGGGTAAATTGACCGAAAAGATCATTAAGGTAGGTATTTTTTATGATTAGTCATTTACGCGGAGTTTGGAACACAGCAGCTTCTATACGTTTAGCGTCTAGTAATGTGATATTTCATCGAGGCATACTGAATGTAAACTCGTAATTCCATTGAGGGTCGCGATATATTTACGTATTCAAAAAATACAAATTTATCTTTTCTAACTTCGAAATGAAGAGGTAATTCATTCATCACAATGTTCCCATAAGCACAGATCATGCCTTAGTTTGTCCTTCATTCCTTACTCTAAGCAAGAGTCAGATTTAGCATGTGTTTGACTGATTCACAGCCCCAGAGGCTGTTGTTAGGATGAGCATAGTGTAGATTGTGCCGTAAGCTTGCAAAGATGAGTTGTACTTTACAGTGGGTAGAAGAAACAAAATAGTCTAATCGGCTGCCTGGTTTTCATGTGAATGGTAAACTTGCTTTCCAGCTGTGAGGTCCCAGGTTGGGTCCGTGAATTCAGAACGCTGATGAGATTCAACCAAGTTAAAACACCTGCCCGGTGCGTTCTAGCTTTTATGTTCACAGTCTATTTGCCACCAACGTGACAAAGTTCATCATAAACAGGAACTATTTAACCTCGTTTAGGTCTTAGTTAACCAAGGAACGATGTAACAAGATGATAGTTTGTTGTGAAATGAACAAAGGCCGACAGCAAACCTGAGGAGGTCAAATGTTTACCGTAAAACGTGCATACATAGAGATTATAGTTTACCTTAAGAATATTAGCAATAATATCAAATGAAAAGTTTTTCTCCCCTAGGGTTTAATTAAAAACCACTACTTTTTAAATAAAGAAATCAAATTAAGCAATCGAAATATGACATTAGAAGAGAAGTGCAAGAAACGGGCAAAATACCACTTACTTTGTTGGTAGTCCATTGATAGTTTTTCGATACAAATGTGCTTTCACATTTCCAATTTCATTCCCGTTCGAATTCAATTCTATTGTGCGTTGTTTCCCATCACTCACGTCCATTGATTTTTGGCGTCCAGATGGAATTGCACTAATGAAATTTTGTGTTGTTCTGCGGCCCGCATCGTTTACGCTACCGTAGACAGTTGTGTCACGTACCATGGTACGCGGTGCCGGGGTTGGTGGTTTTTCCACACTTCCCGGGAATTCGGCCGTGTATCGGCGCCACTTTGGCATTCGATCGACACGATTGTGAGCGGATTTGGAATTTTCCAGGGGTCCGTGATAATTGATTTGTGCAAGGCGTTCACTACCACCACGGGATAGCGAACGTCGTGACTGTGTTGTCGCTTTCTTACTTGGAGCCAAAATTCGTGTCGATTTAGCGTTAGTCGAATCCTCTTTGTCCGATACAATTATAATCGATTGTTCTCGTTCTTTTTTGTCCGGATATTTCCAATCTTCGGAGCGTAATGGATCTGGAGACATCATATGAGCCCAACGGGCCAGGACAGGCTTACTTTTTGTACCTTCGTACGAGCTCATTCGACTTTCTGATCGTTCCCCGGTATCCGATCCGGCATGGGTTCGTCTGATGCTTCCAAGATAGGCACGTTGTGTTGGCGGACTGACCAAATGGCATGCTTGTTGATAGAGAAATTTGTCCCGTTCGTTCGGATTGAGGAGATCCACAGGAGTATTTCGATTCTTGTTCTTGATGTTAATATTGTTAGGAATCGTAGTTGTTGCTGTGTACTTCGCCTCAGCTGGCGAAATAACACGAGGTAATTTACGCAAAGGATCCACTCTGCAAACATTTCGCACAAGAAACATATGCGGTGCAACGAATGTACACAAACATTAATATAAACCATGCAGGCTGACAGCATGAATCAATTGTTAGTTTTACCTAATTAGAACTACGAATAGTAAGATTAAAATGGTTATGAAACGCTGTCTGAGGCGATCACAGCGCTGTCACAAATACCTCGTTATCTGCTGTAGTCAAAAT